TGCTGACTACTGGAAGCTTCCTTCAGGAAAGATGCTGTGGGTGAGGGAGCTGGCTGCTGGCTGTGAGTCAGGCTAGCAGGAACCTTGAGTTGGCTACCAGGGAGATGACAGTTGCTGCCCTCAGGTTTATTGCGGCTGCAGGGGACACAACAAATACAGCCCGAGAGACACCCCCCGAAGCAGGACTTTCTTCCTAAATATAAACGTGGCTTCTCTTGATGCTGCAGAGTTTCAAGAACTTGTTTTGGTCACTCCATTCTATACTGAAATCGCATCAGGTTTGTGTGAGGTGTAATGACGAGATGGAGCCACGCGGTGGCAATGGGTCTCTATCGCAGCAGGCAGAGCTGTCCCTGCTACTTCCAGCTTAGTAATCCTTATTCAAAGAACTTTCAAATGTATTTAAATTGATAACGAGACCAGGGAAAATATGGTTTCAATCACCTTCCCAGCAAATAATTTTAATTTTTTTTATATAAATGTGTAAGTAATTAGGTAAAAATCCCTTGAGTTTAAACTCTGAGGAGTATCAGTTATTTCCAAATGGTTCAGACATATGTTAGTGTCCTGAAGAAAACTGGAAGAGATGGATCAGCTGATAACTGCTTTAGACAGTTTAAAAAAAATAAAAAGAAAGGAACAGAAAATCACATTAAAACACCTTGATCAAATCACCTCTCTTCCTATCTAAATATTTCTCTTAAGTAAATGAAGGCTTGTGCATGCTTCAAAAAATAAGCTGGCTTCATTTTTACATGTTAGTGCTCTTGAAACAGACCAGCTTTGCCTCTTTGTTTGCACTGGCAGCCCATAGCAAGAAGCCTGTCCCCTCAGCTGAAGGAAAGGCTGTTGGACCCAAGAGGCAGCCGAGGGGAAGGGCAACAAACAGCAAACATGACTCTGTAGACTGAAGTCTGGCTTACTGACGAGGCTGGCAGGCCAAGGGCAATGACTCTGCAAGCATAACCCACAGAGGTGGAGACAGGGTTTTAAAAACCAAGTCCTGATGAATCCTGGCCACTTCTGCCAAGAACAGCAGAGGGGCAGAGCCAAGAAAGATGGTACCTCTTCGGCTGTAAACACTTGTTGGGTAATGACTGGCCTGAGATCATGATTTGTGCCATGTGTTCTTAGATTTATACCAGCAATCAACTTCAAAACCTGCTCCTAGGAAAAACATGTTGTTTGCTTTATTTATACAGCAACTACAGGGAAACTCTGCAGAGCAACCACCAGCCTGTATTTCCCAAAGTTAGGGACACAATTATGCCATCAAGGCAACAATACCCATCCTAAAATGGGTATTTTTTTCCTCTCATTAGTCAGCCCAGTTCAACTAGGAACCTAGCAGAAGTTGGTGCAATCCCTGTAGTTGCAAAATGGATGTGGATCACAACAGCCCAACAAACTCATCAGACAAATGACTGATGTTGTTGCCTTCATCTGCAAGTTATTGAAGGCAGTTTTGTCTCAAGACGGCGCGTGCGCGCAGGGAACCACACGCTGAGGCACAACTGCTTTCTTGTGCAAAGTTCACCACCACGCCTGGAGCTGATAGAGTTAAACAGTGAACAGCATGGCTAATTACTATGTACTGCTAACCTCAGTTGCTGGTTCATTTTGAGACCCTTTAAAATATGAACTGTGTATTTTACCCCTATGCACTCTCTTAATGATTTGTTTTTTTTAGACTGAAATCACTTCCAGCCATCAGTTATACTCGCGGTCTCTACACATGCACTTCTCCAAGCACAAATATTTCTTTTTCCTATTGGTCTGCCAGCCCCTGTCAGAGCAAATTTCACTTTAAACTAAATGCTATGATACTTAAAACCTCTTGGATTACTCAGGCTGCTAGTGTGATCTATGACCTTCCCCAAATGACAGCTGAACTTTCCAATTTGCTTGTACTGCCGGGGAGCTGAAGAACACATGCCGAAGAGGAAAACGTTCCTGATGTGCATGAGTGAGGAGAGATTTCTTAACAGCTCTGCTTATTGATACTTACTCTGATTAATGACATCCAAATTAATATGCCCATCTAGGATCCTAGGTGCCCTGACATCATTTAAAATGTAAAGACCTGAAGACCAACCACGTACCCCTCCAACCCCCCTCACAGCATGAAATGCCAGCCAGCATGCCACTGTGTCCTTCTTTCCTTAACTCCCTCCTGCACCCAGAGCCTCAGAGACTAGATAAGCTTTGTGGTACATCTGGAAGGTGGGGCTGGCTCAGACAGGGAGCACTTTGCCCCAACCCTCTGGTGGGGTCCCCTTCAGGTCACCTTGCTGCTAGGGAGTGCACAGCACAGGGAGAGAGGCTCTTAAGCTTGGTCTCCACTAGGGTCATTAGCACCCTAGTGCTAGTCTGCACTGGTTGCAGACTGACCACGGAGCAAGGCTGATTTCTCTAAGCTTTCCTGATGCCACAGACACCTAAGCCTGTCCACACCAGCACTTTCACTCTTACTAGTGCTGGTGCTGACAAGTTGCTCTAAAATGGGTACTAATTCCTCCGGCATAAGCAGGCCCTCATAAAGGCAAGTCCTGGGTTACTATGGAAATTCTTGGTCAAAACTAACCCTTGAAGTCCAACTGGAAATCCCCCAGTATGATGCAGGGATCTTGGAGGGATCCCAGCAAGCAACACTACTTGGGAAACAGGCCTGCACACTCCCAGGAGAGGCTTGAAGGGGAATGGCAAGAATAGTACCAGGCTGTACTGAAAAAGATTGTGACTGCCTCTGCAGGTGAGGCTGGCTCAGAAAAAGTTTCCACCTTAGAGGGTAAAACATCAATTTAGAAATGTACAATTTAGGCCTAAACTTCATCATTTTTCAGCTTGTCAGTTTCATGGTTGGAAGCTCAAAAATCAAAGCACCCTGAAACCACCGCCATCTGAAAATGAAATCCAAGCTAAACACACACTGCTTCCACCAGAGCCATGATTTCAGCTACATTTCTTTTCACTCTAAACTTGTTCTAAAACCCTGTCAGTCCTCCCTCTGTAATCTGCATCAACAAGGCCTCAACTCTGAGAGACTCTGAGCTTCTCACTGGGGACACAAGTTTAATAATTTCATTTAAAATAAAATATATCAAAAATTATATATAAATAGAATTAGATT